GCTGCTGCCGCGGCAGCTGTAGCAGCAGCTGCAGCAGCAGCAGCAGCGGCAGCAGCAGCAGCAGCAGCCGCTGCTGCTGCTGCTGCTGCTGCTGTTGCTGCTGCTGCTGCTGCTGCTGCTTCGTTTGTCTCCTCGTTCCCAGCAGGAGACAAGCCAAGAGCAGCTAATTCGTACTTGTCTTTATTTGCTGCCTCCGCTCCGCTGCTGGCGCCTTCAATGGAAGTTAAATAAAATAAAGGGTTTGGGCTGGTTGGATGTTTCTTATTTCTTTTATTTTCTTTTTCTTCTTCTTTTTCTTTTTCTTTTTTGTTTTTAGAGAAGGCATTTAATTTGCTTTTTGCCTTTTTGCTGCAGGCGTCTCGGCCTCCTGTCTTCGCCATTTCTTTTATTTTACTTCTTCCATTAAATGAATTAAATTGCAGCGTTTAGGGTTTAGGGTTTAGGGTTTAGGGTCTACGCCTCGGGGTTTGGCCGCCTGCAGCAGCTGCCATCCCGGTGTACGTACACCTCAACTCCCGATCAGCCCTGCAGCAGCAGCAGCAGCAGCAGCAATAACAGCAGCAGCAGCAACAGCAGCAGCAGCAGCAGCAGCAGCGGGTTCGAATTTACTGCTGCTAAAATGCGGCGGTCACCCAGGCCCTCGCCCACCCCCTCCCCCGCTGCTGCTGCTGCTGCTGCTGCTGCTGCTGCTGCTGCTGCTACTTCGCCCTCTCTTCCCGCGTCTCCCGCCAGCGCCCTCTGCACCACCGACGATTCTGCTGCGACAGATTTTTCGGAGAAGTCTTTGAAGCAAATAAAAGAAATAAAAGAAACAAAAGAAATAACAAAAGAAATAACAAAAGAAATAAAAGAAATAAAAGAAAAGAAAGAAAAAAGAAAAAAGAAAAAAGACTGCAGCAAAAGACACCTCTCCGGGGGCTCGCTGGCGGTCTGCGGCGACGCCGCGGCGGCCAGCAGCAGCAGCAGCAGCAGCAGCAGGAGCAGCAGCAGGAGCAGCAGCAGGAGCAGCAGCAGGGGGGGCGGTCTGTACGAACTGACTGGGGAGCTGCTGCTGGCGTGTTATGTGTTTGTTGGATTTCATTTGCTGCTGCTGCAGCTGCAGCCGGAGATCTTCTCGCAGCTGCGGTACCCCCCGTTCTACGGGCACCCGCTGCTGCTGCTGCCGCAGCAAAAGGCCTACTTGGGTTGGTTTTTTTCTTTTATAAATGAATCTATTCAGCAGTTCGTGTTGCGGGGAGTGCTTTGCTGCTTCGTCTTCATTTGTTTGCTGCACCTGGTCCGCGCCGTGCTGCACCCGCTTGCTGCTGCTTCCCGCCGCGGCGCGCTGCTGCAGCGCAGCAGCAGCAGCAGCAGCAGCAGCAGCAGCAGCAGCGGGAAGCGCAGCGGCGCGCCGCGCACGCTGCTGCTGCTGCGCACCCCCGGGGCCCCCGACTCCCGCCTCCGCAGCAAACGAGAAAGAGCTTGTGCTCAACTTGTTGCTGCTGCTTGTTTTTGTTTAACTTTAATTCAAAGCAGCAGCTTTTTCTTCGGGGGCTGGACTCTGAAGGCTGTGGGGTTTCCAGACATATATTTGGGGGCGTTGACGAAGCCGGGGGGCCTCTGGGGCTTCGACACTGCAGCGGACGTGCTGCTGCAGCAGCAGCAGCAGCTGCTGCAGCAGCAGCAGCACCTCGGGCCCTTCAACCACACGCAAATCCTCCAGACCCTCCACGAAGTCGAAAACAAACACAACACTTTGCTGCTGCTGCTCGTCACGGGCCTGGGGCTCGCAATCGACACCTGGGGGCAGTACCTCCAGGTGTGCAGCAGCAGCAGCAGCAGCAGCAGCAGCAGCAGCACCAACAGCAACAAAAGCAACAGCAGTAGCAGCAGTAGCAGCAGTAGCAGCAGCAGCAGCAGCAAAAGCAACGGCAGTAGCAGCAGTAGCAACGGCAGCAGCAGCAGCAGCAGTGTGTGGGTGTTGCGCTGCAGCTGAAGGCGATTAGGCGGCACATGGGGCGCCGCGTTTTGCTGCTGGTTGTTTCTGTCTTTTGCTGCATCATGTCACTTGCTGTTTACAATCTTGCAGGAAGTCCTTCTTGCAATTCTCCAGTCAGTCTTTTGCTGCTGCTCTTTCCTCCAATTCCCCTTTTGCTTCTTAGCTTCCCCTTGTCAGCAGAATGAAAGAGGCAGCAGCTTGCTGCTGCTGCTGCTGCACTTGCTGCTGCTGCACTTGCTGCTGCTGCACTTGCTGCTGCTGCTGCTGCTGCACTTGCTGCTGCTGCTGCTGCTGCTGCACTTGCTGCTGCTGCACTTGCTGCTGCTGCACTGCTGCTGCACTTGCTGCTGCTGCTGCACTTGCTGCTGCTGCTGCACTTGCTGCTGCTGCTGCACTTGCTGGCGCACTTGCTGGTGCACTTGCTGGTGCACTTGCTGGTGCACTTGCTGGTGCTGCTGCTGCTGCAGGACGGCCACTGGGTGGACTTTGCTGC